TGATGCACGTTTAGCTGTAGTCTACACCTTTCACATGTTTGCCTATGTGTCCCACTTCAACTGAATCTGCGACTGAAAGCAGAAACCTAACAACCAGCACATCGAAACTCCTCTTTTCCCTCCACATAGATCAAGACATCCAATAATAGCTTAGAATAAAACGTTTACAACTGAACCCCAAGTTAGACAACCAATTATACAGCATACAATATGCGTAGTAATAGTTATACAAACCATTAGAGAAAGGGCGGTTCATTTAGCGCTTTGCCCAAGCACCGTATTATAAAATGGATCGACGTCAGCTTGAGGTTATTTAGTGGATATGCAAAAAAACGGACGTATTTCCCCGACACAGAACTCAGAGTTTGACACTAAGCTACCTCAGCATTGCTGACTTTTTGAAGCCAGTTTAGCTATTGGTGGTTCGGTGTTGCTCCTCCCAACCCTGACACCCCATAACCGGTTTCGTCCTCCTTTGAACTCATCAGCTGGAGATAACCTGAGCTGGGGTGGATCTCGAGGCCTAGTGTTCAAAGGTTGACGCATTGACTAGTATGGCTCTAAGATCTGTGAGCAACGCTTGGCACAGCGGTAAAGAATTCCAAGTGGTATTTGGTGTACCCGCTGTGTGGTTGAATTGCGACTCGCAATCTCTATTCCGACCTCGGTCCTCTTTGAAGTAGACCTCGGTCATTAAAATCACAAGGACAGTATCCGAATTGGTGGTTTAGGTATATTGATCCAAGTCGCTTCTAGATAGACTTACAACGTTCAAATAGAGGTTACTTTATTAGTTGGAGTAAAATCCGCAAGAGAATACGTTAGAGTGAGTTATCTAAATGTAAGTTCACCTTAGACAAACAGCGCGCTCACTCAAGAAGATCGAATGAACTCGAGGAGGCGGTAATGATCAAGTAAGTGGAGTCTTCTACTCGAGAGCATTAGGAGACATAGTTACTTGAAAGTAGCAAAGAAGGCTATGTAAGAATGTAGGGACAAATAGGAAATGGACGTATTAACATTATAGGCTTGTAGTTTTACCTTAAACCACCAACGTGCCGACAGTGGCGAAGTTGCTCTAGTTCACATTAACTTGTACCTCCAAGTAAATTTAGGTGAGGCAAATGTACTTAAATCAGGACCTCATGCATCGTATTCAGTCACAAGATTCCGAGAGAAGAAAAACAGTTATCCAGCATAAGTTAACCTGACATACAGTATACAGTTAGGACAGCTATCAAGACGAGTATAGAGTCATCAATTGAGAGTCGTGTTACGGACGGCATTTCGATCTCAAGTATGAAGATAGAAATATAAACAGATGTGCCTGGTTGGAAACAATATTTAATCTGGGCATAAGCTTAAATAACAAGTCCTCAGAATAACAGTGAACGCCTGGTGAGATATAACTGGGCTCATAGTTTTACATAGGACCTGATGTCTGGCTGTGAGATGACTCCACACTATCAAACTGTCCAAAGATACCGTGAGGCGATGGACATCGCAATCAGGTCGAAATCGCGTGGAGTGTAAGTGCATTTGGATAAGCATTAAGCTCAGTAACATTGATTCTAAACAGAATCATATCCCAGTACCTACTCTGAGAACAATACGCAGATGCCAATCTACATCAATACTACATACACTTCACATTGCAAGTAATTGGTCCGGGGCACTTTACATAAGCAAGTGTGACATCTGCACAATGCGATGAATGGAGCTGAGTTTACTTATGGAACCAGAACCAGTGAATTAACAATGAAGAAAACAAAATTTCAGTCGAAAAGATGAAAAACGTCAGAAGCGTCTTGTGGAAGATCTAGCATTTGAGTCCAAACAAAGGAACAAAAGTGTCCCCAAATGTTCCGCCTCGCTAATAGCAATGGCGCCATGCCTGAGGTACCAAGCCGTAAACGCGATACGTAGCTAAGCGACTCAATCAAACGGCCAGATTTCCCAATTCGGCCGGTGGCCGAGTGGTTGGCACGTTTGCTTTCCAACCATAAGGTCACCGGTTCGAATCCGCGTAGGGGTGGGCGTCCTCGCGGTATACTCAGCCCGCGCGCGACTGGTGGTGGTCGCGCGGCAGCGAAGCGCCGTTACGGCGTATAAGCTGACACATTTCATTTTCATAATCCGCTGGTTAATCTGCGTCATCATCAAAGCAGGCACAGTAACAATAACCAATACACAACAAGGAACTGTTAGTGGGCACTCGATGAGCTAGGCCGGACCAGTGTGCGTGGAGCAAGTTCACACCGGACGACTGAATGTGTCTATCGCCAGCCTGTGCGAAGGTAAGCATTACTCTGCCAATGCGCATGCCGGAATATCTGGCGCGAATAGCGGGTGTCAGAGACCACAGCCATACTAGTCATTAACAAAAGCTGATGCACCATGCTAAAGTCATGGACCAGTATGGCTGCGGAAGACCAAAGCATCTTACAGATGGGCGAAATAACCCTTCGATGGATTCGCTAAAGGAGCTGAAGCAGCCACTTAACTCAGTTTCCCGGATCAACTAAATACACCGATCCATTCAAGCGGTTACACAACGGAGATGTATCATCCTAGTACTGCAGTAGCCCATTGACGACATGAGACAGCACTAGACAAATTAGCACTGCCTCCATGCCGTCTCCGGTTATACCATGCACCTTCGAAATGCAAACTCTTTCGCTAAGATTGACATGGAACCACTCCTGCGCAGATCGTAGCAGTGAGCAACAAGAAGTAATCCAGAAAAGTAAGTATCTGCGCAGCTATATTTGCGCCCGTGGGATCGGAGATGAGGTTACGAACCGTATAGCAAAAGCTCGAGGTGCTTCGCCAATCTCCGTTACCTGTGGCGCCATCGCGACATCACTCTCAGTCTGAAGTATAGAATTTAAAATGCAACTTTCCGTTCAATCTTCCGGTACAGCCGCGAAAATTGGCCCATCAGGTTGGCATATATAAGGAGGCTAGTTACGTTCAACCATCGCTGCCTTTTCAAATTAACTCATGTCTGGTGGGAACACCGTGTGAGCATTCAGCGTGTTCGGCGTCGTGTACTTGGTGCAGGAAGAGCGAGTGAACCGCTCTGCACCATTATATCACACACCAGGCTCCGATGGCTGGGCCACATGCTGTGCATGCCAGCTCACTGGCTCCCGCGACATGCGTTGTTTGCGCGCCAGGGGTGCGGTTGGAAGAGGAGGAGCGGAGGCCAAGCGATGATTTGGTCGAGAGAAATGAAAACCGTCGCTTGGAAGTTGGTGTCAGCTGGTGCATCCCGACTGCCATTCCGAGGACTCAAGAATGATGAACACGTCCGGTTGGATACACTTATTGGCACAGCGAAAAGCCGATCTCAGTGGCGCTTGTGTTTGGAGTGGCTTTGTCTTTTCCATTATTCTTCTACATCCCGCTGCAACCGCGATCTCACGTTCCATGTATACTATAATGCCAACCGTTATATTACTTGTTTATGGTTTTATTTTGGATTCTGTAATGTATAGCATCTCGCTTTGTTCCATATATCCTAACCTTTTATATGGCAGCAAGGTAGCTGAATGTGTGTGTGTGTGTGTGTGTGTGTGTGTGTGTGTGTGTGTGATCTCAGCAGTCTAACAACTAGACAAAGAGCCAACAGAAAACCATGGAGATCAGAGGATAAGGGAGAGTCATCGCATCATAATCATCGTGGCATAGTAGTTGAAGGTGAGCAACACACTTCAGCTAATATGCCGCAGGAAGAAAAGGACATTTTGACAAAAAGTAGAACAAAACATTTTTAGTTTGTTATTCACAAGCCGACTTTTTTTCGTTTTTTGTCATTTTCAATGTTTGAAGTATTAAACATGTGAATCAATATAATACTGTTTACGATTCTTCCACTGATTCCGGTTGCGGGCCATGTCTACAAATGTGTTAAGCCATTGGCACTCCTCATCTTTGGGTCCCCATCCTGGAAGACGTATGGGTCCAAGAGCGGCTAGACACGACGTCAGCGATTTCATGTGCTGCCGCCATGTAGAAGGCTGACCACCCCGCGGTCGCCTTCAGCCAGGTCCTTGACAAGCGAATAGAGCGCGACGCGGTAGACGCTCAGGTGCCATGCGTAGGACGTGACTGAGCCATCTCGATTGGCGCAACAAAACCAGTTTGTTGAAAGGAATACTCGCATTCCCCAAAATGGGACGTCGAAGGTCATTACTATTAACTCGGTGTTGCCACCAAACACGAGCAATCCTCCTTAAACAACCGTTATCGAAGGCAGAAAGACGATGCATGTCTTCCACGCGAATCGGCCAGGACTCGTACCCATACAACAATACTGAGCGAGCTGATGCGCTGTAAACGCGACCCTTTAGCAAGAATGACGTCGCGACGACGCCACAAGTGCCTCAGATTGGCAAATGCTGATCGGGCTTTAGTGATGCGAAGAGAAAGTTCGTTGCTGATAGTGCCGTCCGCAGAAACACAGCTCCCAAGGTGGACGAAACTGTCTACCTGTTCAAGTTGTGCACCTTCGAGAGTGAGCACGGGAGCAGGTGAAAGCCAATCTTTGAGCAGTAGTTTACACTTCGATGGGGCGAAGCTCATGGTAATGATAATGGCGGTACTAACCCCATCAAAATGGGTCAATGAGGAGTTGAGCAATTGCATTCGGTAAGATAAGACTAAGGCCAACGAAGAAAACACAAAGTTCAAATAACGATTAGCCAGAATAAATCGATATATGGCATTTCGGACCATGTCCATATAGTTGAAACTGGTCCGACTGGTATAAGAGAACGTAACGCCAACCAATGCATGGTTAGTGGGGTGAAAATAGATGTGATCCTGTATGCACTTTGTTTGTATCGATTTGGTATAAAAAATAGCAGAGAAGTAAAGTGAATACACACATCCTTCATACAGAGAGCGTTTGCCTTCTGGTCTCGATCGAAAATGTGAATCAGTTGATTGGAAACAGTGGGAAAAATTGACTATTTAGTTCGTTCACCGGTACTCACTCTTGGGTTGACTGCTCAAAGCGCTCCAGGTGAGGAAGGCCACAAATGCAGAAGTCACGGCACCCGGTAGCCAGAGATGTCGTCGGCGTACTTGGGCCAAAAAAAGACAGAAAGTAGAGACTTCGGTTAGCAACAACTCCGCGGTAAGTACAAAATGTCCAGAATAAATAAAATAATAATGTGTCAGCTATGCGCCATAACGGCGCTTCGCTGCCGCGCGACCACCACTAGTCGCACGCGGGCTGAGTATACCGCGGGGACGCCCACCCCTACGCGGATAAAATGTCCAGAAGTTACTCAGAAAATGACACAAACGCAATAGAGTTAACGAAGATAATCACAATTAGCGTAAGCAACGTGGCCAGTTAATAGAAGATTAGTCAGGTAGGCAGAACAAACCAAATAAAGTGGAATGAAATTTATCCAGCTTAAAAAAGACCTAGTTTAAGTGTAAGTTGGTTTAGCCCAACTGCGGTGAAGAAGCATCATGAATGCAACATCAGCCTCAGCATAGGGCACAAACGTAAATATATGCACATACGTATACACATCGGCACTCACACGGATCGGAGAAGACCGAACAGATGGCCGACAGCGTGGTCAGACCAAAGTTGATCCCGGTTAGGGTTAGGTTCAACGAACACCCATGGGGTAGACCATAAAACAGTAACAACAGGCTGTACGCTGCTGCCGTGCCAATATACAAAAGCACACTGCAGAGGTAGATAGCTGAAATGGAGTGGAGTAGATTCTGAGGGTTAATTTGGCTTTGGATTCGGCAGTATCATACCCAAGGATAGAGAAGCAGAGAACGATGGAGATCGAGCGATAGCGGTGGTGAAGGCATTGTGGTAATATAAAAATATTTCACGAAATTAGAGGGTTGTGATTCCATAAAACAATGCGTTGGCGCTGAACTCTTTGAAACCAGGTGAGAAAATATGGGAATTATGGAGAGTAGTTTTCGGGAGATTCGAATCGATCTTAAGCGGATTTCACCGCAGATACACATCTGCTCCTTCGCGACGCATCAGCTCGGTGTATTTATTTCTTCCGGTGTAAGGCGATAAAAGTGATTACTGGCGTTGGTGTGCAAATAAGGTTGCTAACCATCGTGACCAAGTAAATAGATTCGACATAGTGTGAATCCCTCGTCAGACAACACCGATTTCAGCTTGAACAATGAACAATGATTTATCACGGGATAAAAGCAAGTGCTTGACACGTCCCGTAGGATGGTTGCGGTGAATATGATGCAATTAAAATATGTCTGGGTCATCTATCGAACGTCTGCCGAGATGAATACTTAGATACATAACAGTAAAATTTAAAGAAAAACTAGTGTGAACGTTCAGAAATGCACTGGGGTGCAGTGATCGTTGAGGTAAGGAGTGAGAAAAGTAAAATATGGTCGTTCACTTAGGTCCATTTAATACATAAATCCTGTTGAAAAGCATGTTGGCGTAATCCACAATAGAGGAGCTTAGGTAACAAAATGCTGGGAGCTAAGAGCAACATCTAATCGTTTTTTGAAAACATCCAAGGTAGGAGAGGATACAACTGAGTCTGGAAGTGCGTTCCAGGGTTGGCAAACCCGAAGAGAAAAGTAATTCCGTCGACACTCTAGATGACTAGATTGTTCTTTCAACTTTAAGCAGTTACGCCTGAGCTTGTGTTGTGGCTAAGTTTCAGCAAATGGCGGCATACGCTAATATGAGGTCGCCGCGCAGCCTTCGATAGCGTCCGCTGAAAATTCCCAGCAACTTCAGTCTTCGGTGGTAAGAGTGATAGCGCAGGCCTTTTACATTCTTTGTTGCTCTACGTTGTGGTGTCTCTATCGCTTCTAGGTCGCGCTTCAACCAAGGTTGCCAAGCTTGGATAGCGTATTCAACATGCGGGCACATGTAGGAATTGTGCATCATTGGGAAGATTGATGGGTCGAATCTCCTGAATGCCCTTCCCAGCATGCCGACGTGCTGGTTGCCTCTTTTCGCAGCTACCTCAGCCTGTTTTGAACAGTTGAGGTCGCTCTGTACGATCACACCAAGGTCACGTTCCTGGGAGCTATTCTGCAAACCGTTTGTCCCAAATAAATAGGTGTAGTTATGTCTATGTCGTAATTGTACAACGCGACATTTGTCTCCGTTGAATGGTGCGGCGTTTTGAACTGGCCAGTTCGACACTGTGTTAAGATCGTGCTGGAGCCGTTCGTGGTCTTCCGGTCTTCTGATCCTTCGCCGTATCTTGATATCATCAACGAAAAATAGGAACTCGGAAGTAATTGATCTCGCCAAATCGTTAATGAACACCAAGAATAGACGAGGTCCAAGAACCGAGCCTTGTGGTACTCCACACGCCACATTGATTGCTTGAGAAAATGGTTCTCGGACTCTCACCACTAGCCATCGTTCTTGTAGGAAATTACCCATCCAACTCAGGATTGGGTCGCCAATACCGTAATTCCGAAGCTTCTGAAGGAGAATTCGATGGTCTAAGCGATCAAACGCTTTTGGAAAGTTCAGGTAGATGACATTAACTCCTACTCCATCATCAACAGCTTCAGTCCAGCTATTACATGCAATTAATAGGTTCGGGAAGATTGAGTACCGAGTGTGGAACAACCATCAGCTAAGCATTGGCACGGAGCTGATGGTGTACGAATCCATGGTACTGTCTGTTCTTCTATACGGCAGTGAAACGTGGACGATGTACCGTTGGGATGTGCGATATCTCGAGCGGTTCCATCAGCAGTATCTGCGACGAATTTTGCGGATCGGCTGGGGCGACAGAATTGTAGACACGGAAGTTTTGCGCCGAAGTGGGATGTATGCAGTGGACGGTATCCTTTTACTGCGACACCTGAGATGGCTCGGCCATGTGAGCCGTATGGATTCGGCGCGGATACCGAAACAACTTTTATACGTTCAGCTGAGTATTGGGAAGCGGCATGCTGGGAAACCAAAGTTACGTTACCAGGACATGATTAAAGTGAGCCTCACACGTTCTAATCTTGATTGCAGATCATGGGAATCGAAGGCGGTTGATCGTGGTGCATGGCGCGATCTAATCACGAAGGCAGTTGCTGAAGTGCGGGAGAACGCCCTCATGCATGCAGAGAAGAAGCGGCAAGTGCGGAAGCGGCAAGCACCAATGAATTCTACTCCATCGACATCGAGCGCATGGTGCTGTAGAACATGCGGTCGCGAGTGCCTGAGTCAGGTAGGCCTAGTGAGCCATGAGAGAGGTCACTCGGGACCACTGCCGAAGCGACGACGGGTCCCGCAGTGAACGTAGGCAGCACCGGCGCAGCGTTTGTAGGCACGCTGAATTCGATTTACTAACCGCATGCTTGCATGCTAAGTCTCTTTATTTCAGGTGGTGGATTTTCGGTTTTGTCCTAATGCCTTTCTTTCTCATATAAATGTCTAGTGGGCCTTGAGCTAGGCCCTTTGGGGCCGTTACAGAAGCGACGACGGGTCCTGCAGAGAATTACGACGAGCCGGCGCAGCGTTTGTAGGCACGCTGAATTCGATTTACTAACCGCGTGCTCGCATGCTAAGTCTCTTTATTTTAGGTGGTGGGTTTACAGTTTGTGCCTTAATGCTTTTTTTCTCATATAAATATCTCCCTGTACTCTATTCCATTAACTTGCACACCTCGCCTAAGCCAATTGTATTCGATGTCCATAACATTTTTGTGTTCGTGGCATTCCGTGAACTATACTTCCTGACCTCGTGCACTTAGTTAGGATTTGTTTGTAAACAACTTATTACATATGCTATTTAATTAAGGTTTATATCACCGTTTCCTTATGCATTAATCGAGTTTTTCTCTTTTTCTTTCTCTCTCTCAAGTGTTTGGCTGTTGTTTGATATCTCCGGTGTGGTTGCGCTTGATGTGCATGTTGACAAGGTGCCTACCTGTCTATTACCCACTACCTCGTCCATACTGGCTCCAGGAGACAGTTGGTCGTTGCTGGAGGGAACAGGGTGCATGGTCCTTGTGGCCGTGTTAGGATCAAAGAGTGGTTCCATACAGTCAGTGTGGAGCAGACTACGGTCCAGCCACCGCCTTGTGTGCGCTTGATTCCCAAATACAGTGTGCTTGTGTTTGCCTGTGAAGGAGTGTGGGCCGGCTTCGTTGATGAAACGTGGTTCCCATCCGCATGCCTCCCGGTCTTATTCCTTCGGGTTTACACTGGATATGGGGTGTGTGGTTGGAGCTGTGGGTGGTGCAGCGCAAGCCATCCATGGTCCCTCTGTAAGCCCAGGCGTCCTGTGGCTTGCCACAGTGACAGGCAAATCCGAAACCGGATGCCGCCAACCATTACACGAATGCTTTTGACGAAAGCCATGTTGCTCTGGGGCTATTAAATTGTGGCTTTCCAGGTATTGCATCAGCGCGTCTGCGATGATTGATTCCTTCATTTTGGATAGTATGGGGAGTAGTGTTATTGGACGGTAGTTGGCAGGATCAGTGCGGCTACCTCCTTTTTGAATAGGTTAGGACTGGCTGTAAAGGTCACGAGTTCAAATCATATGAAAAGCCAAATGTGTTAAAGAGCCCAACAACCTTAGAAGGAAATAAGTTTGTTTAGGTTGACATCTTACCTAACTGAAGGTGGCTATGGGATCACTGTTAAAAACTTGATTTGCCCAAAGTTGTAGTGTTGGTGTTATGATCTGATAGTTAATACATAGTGCCGCAGTTCCTTCTATACATGCAGACTAGATCCAGGCACAGTTAGTTTCTTTGACTATTCGTCTGCAGCACGGCTCTAGCTGCACATGGTGTCTGGTTTGCCTTTACAATGCACTAAGGAGTACTACCTACGTGTATAGTTTTACTGTCTTTCGCCTCGTCCTCTTGAGCCAAATCATGAACTTATTCCTTCAAAGTTATCCCTGACGTTGGACTGATGGCGGAAGTGGCCTTTCTTCAGACCTATGGTGCTGCTGAAAAATATCGTCCCGGGGTTAGTTGGATTTCACTACTAAGCTGAATTCTCTGTGACAGCTCACAAACGTGCCAAGCGGCACTGGACAGATTAGCACTAGCTGTCCGTCATTTCGGGTTTTGCTTCGCACCCTCGAAGTGCAAAGCGTTCCTGCAAGATTGGTCTGGACCGCCTCCTACGCTGAGCCTTGGTGGGGATCTGCTAGAAGTCGTTCAAAAAGTTAACTATCTAGGAAGTTGTATCAGCGCCCGTGGGATTGAAGATCAGATCACGAACCGTATAGCAAAAGCTCGAGGTGCTTTTGCTAACCTTCGCCACCTATGGCGGCGGCGCGACATCACTCTTGCGCTAAAAGCTAGAGTGTACAATGCAGCGGTACGTTCGACCTTACTGTACGGTTGTGAAACCTGGTCCCTAAGATCGGTGGACCTAAAGAGGCTAGTTACGTTCGACCATCGGTGCCTTCGCAATTTAGCTCACATCTGGTGGGAACACCGCGTGAGCAACAAGCGTGTTCGACGCCTCGTTTATGGCACCGAAAAAGGAACTGAACCGCTCAGCACCGTAATTTCACGCACCAGGTTCCGATGAGTCGACCACGTGTTACGCATGCCAGCCCACCGACTTCTGCGACGTGCGTTGTTTGCGCACCGGGGGTGCAGATGGAAGAAGAGGAGGGTGACCGAGCGATGGCTTGGTCCAGAGGAATGAAGGCCCTCAGTTCGGAGCTGGTCTCGGTTGGAGTGTCACGGCTCCCTGGTTGGGGTCCGAA